TGGTGGGGGGTTCGGGGGAGGAGTATTTCTGTAAGAATGTGTGGAGTGAGGCATGTGGGTACCTCCAGGATCACTGTTTGTGTCTTGTTTGCGCTTCCTCTTCTTAGTTCGGTTGGTATTTGCGCGGGAAGACCAGTCAGGGTACAGCTGCATGTGCAACTGTCTCTCCCGTCGCGCCAACTCATAATACTTGGCCTGTTCCTCTCGCCCTAGCGCGTGCCACTACCGAGAGAGAACCAAACACTATTTGTAATTGTGCATGAACCGTGGGCTAAACAATATTTTAATCAAGAAGAAAAAAAAAGAGATTCACTAAACGCTACAGCCGCCACCCTAATTGGATCTTACGGGTTGTGAGAATCAATCGATTTTTTGCTCGTTTTTCCTTTGGATCGGACTTTTGCCTCGGAGTTATTCAAAGATTCCTGTCCTTTATTATTATTATTACTGTACTGTTTTTTTTATACGTTTTCGTATATACTGTATATTATTTTTTTTTGTTTGGTCGTTAATTCGAAAGATTAGCTTTTTCTTGTGTCTTATTTTTTCTTTACATGTATATGTAGGTCTATGCGTTCGACGCATCCCATTTTTCTTGTTTAGCATCTCGGTAACACTGGGGTTCCTACTTTCCGTTTAAAGTGCTAGAAGAACAGCCTAGGATTCTCCCCTCCCCCTCGGTCGCACCGCTATATTGGTCGCTTATCAAATGAACTTTGAGATCGTACAGAGGTGTCTGATAGAGGAGCTACAGAATGACAACAAGATCGGTTATCAAACGGCAATATAATGGGCGGCCGCGTCACGGCCGCACAAACATGGCGGACCGCTGTACCGAGCACGTGTCCAGCGGAACGAGGATTCTGGGCCGGTCTATATACTGAAAAAATATACTTTAAATACAATGTAAAATGCAAATTATGCTTCTATATATAATTATCACATCGAACAGATAAAATGGCCTACACAGACACGATTATCTTAGTCATTTCATAAGTCTTCGAATGAATTTTACTTAAAGATACATGTATACAGTGGATATAGAAGACATCAATTCTAATGAAACCATCTGTTGTTTGAAATAAAAAAAGAAAACAATGAACTTATATGTTTCAATCGAGTGTCTCATATAAAGACTCAAAAGTTGTTACTAATCCAGATAGTGGTCATCTTCTTGTACGTATTCCTAGTCAACGATATCTCTTTCAATTATGACTTTTATACGATGATCTTGTGTGAAAGCTTTACATTTCTAGAAGTAATTTTGTGCTTCGAAATTGCTCAAGTACGTAAGATACATTAACAACAACGTGACAAACGCAAAGACTTACGAAATGGCCCAACAAGTTCTTGCCCAATCCCATTCACAAGAATAATTCTAATAAATTCTGTTTTCGGTGTATTCATGCTCTCAACCGGTGTTACGTTATAGGGTCAATAGGCAGGATCTTGTAAGAAGTGACGTCAATCATCCAGCGTTTGGTAAAATTCAAATTTTAGGGGATGCTAAGGCGGAGGATCAGACCGCCGTTGGAGCACGATAACCAGCACAGACTTCTCGTAGCACCATGGAACAGTCACATTTATACTATTCTTTCGACATATGTATATCGAAGCTCCGGACAAGGATCCAGCGGTCCCATTTCGTGATTTCCCGGTGTGAGTAAAAATCCTCTTCCCTCTATCAGACATCCCCGTACCCAAGGCTCTCGGTGGAGCCTTCGCTCGCCACGGTCGCTCTATGTTCGAGGTACATTTCATCACGTACTTTTTTTCGTTCCTTTCTATCTTTTTTTCATTTTTTTTTTTACTTTTTGCGTACATGATTCTTTTTCATACAAAAGAAAAAACGTGAACGGATACCGCTTTAGGGAGTTTGGCCAGATACAAAAAAAATTGATTCATCGTGAAACGATGGTCGCATATGTTCGCGCGGGGGTCCGTTTTTTTTCCTCCGCTGCGCCGCGGTAACGAATTCCGTGGCCGCAGATTATTTCTTCCCCCAACAGACAATCCAATATATAATCCAATACCAAATCGAAGTCGAATGAAAACAAAAAACAAAAAAAAAAAATAAAACGGAAACAGTCGTAACTTAGCAAAAACACGGTGGACGCGTGCGTACCCGTGGTATGTGTATGTTTGCGACGCGTACCCACGCGTGCCACACGCGTGTGTTCCCCGTCGACCACGCTCAGCAAAGAGCCGTCGTCGTTTTCACGTCTTTATTCGTTCTTTTCTCGTTATTTTTCGTTTTCTTTTTCTCTCGTCAATGAAAAAAAAAATTCAAAAAAAAAAACTACGCAACGCACGTCGAATGAGTGAATACGCCAGAATCGAAACTTAAAGGTCCAATAGTAATCTCAATTGAAACAATGAATGACGAACGAAAAAAAAAATAGAAAAAAAAATAACCAAAAACAATAAAAAAAGAGAGACAACAAACAATCGTAACAGTGACGAGTGAACAAATATAAAAACAAAAAATATATGTATATATATATAAACAAAATGAACACAAAGTAAGTAAATGAAACGCACAGAGAAACTTTGATCGTTTCAATATCAACCAGTGTAGGTAAATTCTATATATGATATATTATAATGAATTATTAAGGGCCTGCTGTTCTAGCACTGGAAAGTGGTACCTCCGGTGGGATCTGTGGATCGCTCTTTCTTCCTCTTCTTCTTCTTGCTGCCGTATCCGTAGTTATCCCTGGCACTCCAGCCGGGGTATCGTTGCTGATGGAGATGGCGCTCCTGCCTGGCCGCCTCATAATACCGCGCCTGCTCCTCCCGGCTTAGCGAGTGCCACTGCGTGTCATACCCCCAAAAGTTCAGACTCAGTTTCACAGTATTCAGCCGTGCACCGTGTCCCTTTCCACGCTTTTATATACTTTTTTTCCTGTCTTTTTTTCCTATTTACTTATTTCCGTAATTTTTTTTTTTTTGGAAACTCGTAACTTTATATACATACATATATATATTTATGCATATATACTCTCTAGCGACTGGTTTGACCCGTCGAAAAACGGTGTGTGCGTCCTCGTCGCAAACCCAACCCCCTGTTTTTTTTTCGATCGACGGCCCAACCCTCTCCTGCGGCCGAGATACATTTCCTTAGATCCCACCTACGGATGCTCTCTCTTTACGCTCGTACTGAATCTATTTAGGTGCTTCGAACGTACTTGAAACGCATGCAACTTTACACTGTATAGTACAACATTCTGGGGATGATAAACGGGTAATAGAGTGGTTTCTTTTTTTTTTTTTTTAAATTCTTGGTCGCCAAGTCAACATTTTGCTTCCGAGCGTCGAAGAGTTAAATCCGGAGAACCGTTCTTTTTTTTTTATATATATACACGGATCATCGTGGACGGTGGTCCGTATTGGAAATTCGTCAATCGTGAGATTTACTTTTCGGCTTTCGATCCCTGATCTGATATGGGATTTCAGCGATGTGTATCATTGATCCTTCAGTCTGCACGGTGGCCGTGAGTCTGGTCGAAGTCGATTGTTCGAGGCCACCGACCGATTTCCAGCGTTTTAATTTTCATTGCTGAGATTACTATTGGTGGTCTTGAACAGTCAACGGAATTCGGCCAGACGGTAAGCTCGAACCGTTCAGGTGACGACAAACGCGTTTTAAAACAGAAAAGAAGGAAACAGAAGAAAATCTTGACTTTGGCATGTGTCTGCACGCTTTTACATCAGGGCTCTGGGCGTGAGCTACCTTCGCGAATGTACAAAAGGTACGTACACCAGCAGCCGACAGTGTGAGACGAAGTTTCTCGAAAATATATATTACTTTAAAAATTCATTCAATCTTTATAGAACAATACTTTATACGTCTGGTACCCGTAACAGAAAGTAGTAGACTTTACGAACGTATAATTAGCAAAATAACTGATATGACTGTAAAATAATCTACAAAGATTGAATCAATCTGTATATGAATAGTATCCGTACCTATTGTCTTTATGGATTTTATTGAATCTTTGTAAAACATTATTTTCTACTGTTCTGTGTATAATCATAACATAACTGCAGCAAAAGATAATCAACAGAATATGCATTTTGACGGATTATGTTATAAGGTAGGCTCCAGACTCTGATGCATAAGCGTTCAAAATAGAAATCTCAAGTCTTCATAGAAATATGCGCCGTCTACTCACTCGTCTTCCCAATATTTGGTTGATCGCAGCGCTCTCTTTTAAGGTACACTCAGCCACGACCTTCGCCCTCATCTCCTTCATGTACAGCATAAATGCGTTCAAAGGCTTTTTTATATGGGGTTTCTTTTTATCTGTGCAAACATCATCGACGTATGGTATGAGAGGTGGCCTCTACAGTGAAAATCATAGGGTAAACTGATCACGGATGCCCAGGTCTATTAAACGGTCCTTACCTTGGTTGTTCTGTTGGCCCGAATCGACAGATTTCCCGTTGTCCGGATTCCCTAGCGATGCAGAATTCTTCTGTTCTACCGTTGACCTGTGGATGGAAACGGAAACGATTACAATATATCCCACAATCCCCACTATACATACCCCTAAATCAGTCTACACGATCCTCAATGAACAGACAAAGTATAGTACAAGAAATCTATTACGTATAGCAAAGAATAGTCCATAATTTTTATAAATATCGACGATAACATTAAATTAAATTAAAAAATTTCTTCTCAATTTCCCAGGTCAAGAAGAGCTCGCTAAAAATGAATATTGAAATTGCATTACGCTCTAATACGCCTGATCAATCCATAAATCCACAATCTTCTAGTCAAGAAAGGGATGCTAAAATTGAATATCGAATTTGGATTACTAATTAATACACCCGATAAATCCATATCTCAGCTTTGCAAGTACCACAGAAGCTGTTATCTATGTCATAAAATGACTTATCGAAGATCAAGTGTTCCCGAAATACCAGTCAGACTTAAGTACACCCTTTTCACCAGAAGGATGAAAAAAAACACAAACATCAACCCATCAAAACCTAACAAAGCCTGATTATATCTAGAATCAACTAACTTTCCAGACTGTAAAACGATACTATGCTTATGTACAAGACAAACTCCCAAAGTCTGACCGATATCATCAAGAACAATTCCCTTCCCGGTTTTGTATATGAACGCATAGGTCCATCGGATGTACCCTCGCGAGAGCAACCACAGCTTCCGCTAGGTGAAAAAGTGTCGTAAGAGAAAGGCCTCCTACCACTGGCTAAATTAATTTCAGGTACTGAAACAAATGTAAAATAAAATGTTAATTTGGCATAAATTTCAGTAATTCCCAATACCAAATAGTAGGAGCATGCTAGAAGTCTCTTTCCCAACGCCACTTTTTTCCCTACCGGAAGCCGTGTTTGCCACTCTGGGTGTGGGAAGCAAAAGGGGTTTTGGATGAGCCCTGAACAACCCGCGTTACCGTTTGAAGTAGGGCTGCTTCGTGTCATGGTTCAACGGCGGTTGGTCGGGTTTCGAGCAGGACAGGGGATAGGCCGGCGTGGAGTTCTGGGTGTTGCACAGTTGCTCCGCGAGATTCGAGGTCGGCCCGTCGAAGTACGGCTGCTGAGGCAACGCCAGGTGATTACGATGGAAGTTCTGCGGCAACGGCCAGTTCATCTGTTGCCACATACGGTGTCGTGCCTCGACCATCGCTAGCAGCTGCATGAAGTTCTGCTGGGCACCGTACTGCGGCGGTGTCACCGTGCTACGAGGCACGTTCATGTTCGACATCTGCATCAGGCTGCTCATGTAGAGCGCGGTAAGGATCTTATGATCGGCGGTTGGTAAACCGTCCTCGCCAGCCTTCACCGCTTCCTGGAGTATCGTCATGTTCTCCTCCTCGATCCTGGACACGTCCGGCTTTTCTTCGTCGATCCTGTTGCTGATCCCGCGCTCCTCGATACCACTGTCCTCGTCCTTCTTTATCACCAGGTTCAGTGGCTCCAGACACTCGGGCTCCATCGCCCTGGTGCACGCGGTCTATGTGTGCTATCCCCCCTACACCTTACGTGGGTCCCGTCTATACCCACCGAAACGATCCGGACTGATCCATCGAACAGCACTGTCTCTCTTATCGCGACAACACTTCGTGCACGTTTCTCATACCCGTGGGAATTACACACCGTGACACCCCGTTCGCTCTGTCCTCATTCGTCCGGCACGATTCATCGGTCTTATTGGACACCTGTCTACTGATTGCACAGTATCAGTATCGTTCCATCGTTTCCGTTGTCGCACTACAATCGAGTCCTCGTGTTCGTGTCATGTTGTACAGTCCTCGCGGACCAGTCCTCGGTAAACATTGTACACGCGCGCATACCGCACAAACGCAGACACACACATACACACGGATGATTCTCACACGGGTGTCAACGTGTTCTGAACGAGGCGACGGATGATCGTACGCCGGTGGTGGCCACGTATACGCCGGACGAGACACTGTTCACGCGTATCCTAGTCGATCTTAATGGCTCCATATTCGTCGACGGTATTCAACATTCATGACCATTCGCGGAACGGGCACGGTAAAATGTCTCCAGGGGCGGCACGTCTCTCTTCTAAGCGTCTCTTCCGTCCACCCAACGCTTCCCTCTCTCTCTCTCTCTATCCTTTCACGTTTCGCGAAATAAAAACCACCCCCACCCGATTTTCTCCTTTATCTCGTTTCTTCGTGGAACATTACCCCGGCTAGCTCGTTTCTCCGTTCTCCTCCACGGCAGACGCGTGTATCCTCACAAAAATCTCTGTCGTTGTCGTCACTTTTGTTATACCCTACGATATCACCCGCATCCAGGCGCAAAACGCGTCGTTCCTGGCGTCGGTGGAATCACCGAGCGGTGTTACGACGATTGATTATCCGCGAGTTGCGGAAGGGGCGGCGGGGTGGAGGGCTGCACCGTGGGGCCATCATCGCGATTCATGGCTCCGCAGCAACGACACCCTACCATCCGCCGATGTATAATTCGCGCGTGGGGGGTGAAGATTGCATTCTCTCTCTGCTTTCCCTGCGTGGATGGCCCGGTTGTTGTTTTTTTTTTTTGGCGGGCTGCGTGGCGCCACCGTCGCCCGCCAGACTGTAACTCGCCCGCTTGGCTCGAGGCACGCCGAACAAACACGTCGGGGGATGCAAAAGGCTCTCGAGCTCGGTATACCCTCGATCAGCTGCTTTCGCGATACGAATTGATCTCCTTAAACCGGTCTAGATGGCCATCCCCTCATCTCTACTCGTACCATTTCCTGTTTCACCCACTGATCTTCTTCTTCCGTTATCGAACAGACACACGTGTCTCTGAACGATCCAAACCCGTTCTTCCAGGGGTGGCTTCGAATATTTTCCGATTCCCAGCGTCGATCACGATATCAACGGTGATGCTCGATGATACAATTCGTAAATTCACATCCGGCGAGCACGTGGTCGAAGAGATCGAAGGTCAAAATGAACGAGCAACATATACACATACACAGTCTGCGACAAACGACTCAGACCGCGCGAGTGTCGTCGTCGTCGTCGTTGTCTATGTTGCGCCGTGTAACTCCGTCGGCGTCCCGACGCGTCGCCGTGGCACCCGTTGACGCTCCCCGCCTCGGGACAAACCCTCGGCCCAGCTGATCGTCCATGGTTATTGTTGGTGTTGTGTTGTACGCGTGCCTCGAAACCAACCCAACGAGCGAGAACCACGCGGTTTTCCGTGTATGTATATATATGTATATGTACACGGTGGTACGCGGGGGCCAACCGATCGGCCGGGTACTAATGCAAATTAGAAATCTGTTTAAGAGGGTAATGATCAATACATAACCGGCGGCGACGGTGGCGGCGGTGGCAGCCGGCAGGCGCAGACGCTGTGCGACGGGAGTCATTCAATAAGTGTTATATACGCGCGGCTCCACGTCGAACGAGGGGAGAACGGCTGCCACGAGGGGGTTGAACAGTCTACGTGACGTGCTACCCCCTATGGTCGGCCCTGAAACTAGCCGTCGAAACCAACGCGGTCGTGTCTCATGCTTCTTTATCAACGGACGGGATACGGAAACTTTTCCCTTTATCGATGGAGGGAAACTGTTATCGCGTCCATTTGGGGATCCTCTAAGTTCGTCTGTAGATACGTACGTAGTTGTCTGATCCAGCAAGGTCTTCGATCTTGTAGGAATTATCTCTATTGAATGAACTGTCCTGTTATCTTGTGAGGGTACATTTGTACACCCGTGGATTTGGACATTTTTTGAATTCCAGTTGTGACTTTCGAATCATTACTAGTCTATTCGATTGCCCTTAGAGGCTATCATCGTCCGATACGGAACTTTCCTGTTTTTGGGAGGAACTCTGTATTTCCTTTTTTAATGAATAATAACGTCCTGTTGAATACTGTCGCGTGCCCGATGATGTATCCTTGAAATTACAAGAGATTTCTAGTTTCGAAAAATCGAAAAGAGATTTTCAGATCTGTAGGTATCTGAAATCCTTATAAAAGGATACTTCTACCTCATCAAACACAGGTTCTCGAATCCCTGGGTTGTCATTTTGCTCGATGTATCCGTACCTATGTGTATTTTGTAAATTATCGACTGAGCCACTCGTTCCTCCGGCAATCTTCCCTTCGTCGGAGTATTTACCAGCCCTGCTGCGAGCACGATCAAAGCGAGCGATTCATTCCAGGCAGAGTGAGAATTAGGTCTGCCGTGTTATTGCGGAGATTACGTCAGGCTTCGATACATTCGTGCCGTTCAGAGTATCGAACACTAGCATCTAACTGGAGTCACCATTTTTCCCATTAATAAATTCATCCGGGAAAGTTTGATAAGCTTATCGCCAATAATTCCATGATTCGTGTGTTTGTCCTTCACCGAATTGAAATCCTGATCTAGCAATTCCAAGAAATGTGAACAGCAGACGATAACAGGTCCGATCCATGGTAACTTGTTAATGGTTCCAATGGTAATTTCGAAGGGTCCAAATTAACTTGAAATGGTAATCCATTTACTCTAACATTTCGATACTGGATAATAGGATTGGGTGTCTGGTAATCACTCATTGTTTTCTTTGTAAATGATTCGACGAAAATTTCACAGATAATATCAACACAACAACGAAGATAATTGATTACTCTACACAGACTAGTAGTAAACAGAGGGTATCTGATGGCTCGATCGATGGTACACTTCGAATCTCACGGTGAACAGAGCGTTAGGATGATTCGGAATAGGAACGAAGGAATTATTGAACGATGGGGAGAGCGTTCAGGTTTCGCTACGGGAGATCCAGGTGTCGCCTTTAGGCAGGAGAAAACGAACCTGTGATTGTGATCCAAACTGGAATGGTCCGATTTCGGCGTGGATGGCACCAGCGCGTGGGGCGTCAGTGCGTGTGCGTGCGGACTCAGTCCGGGATGAGGGGGCATCAGACCCGTTGGCGAAAACCGGTAGAGATCACTGGAAAAATTGCGCCTCAGATAACTGCGAACATTCGAGGACAAGCTTAGAGCTAGTCGATCACGCTTTGGTCTCGATTGAACGTTTCAATGCCGATCCGATCGAAATAATCGACGTGATAACGGATCAATTATAAGATCTAATAATTACAAAGATATTCCGAGTCTTGATTCCTTTTTAAATTTAATAAATTAACCTGTGACGTAATCTGATTCGGAGGGTTTAAGACAGAATTTAATTGGTGATACAAATTCAAAGGGACTTGAAAAAGGGACGTTATAAAATAAAATTTGTAGTATTCGGGTCTTTGAATCCTTTCTAAATTGTTCAAGATCTGAATTGAAGTGTATGAGACGGTAGAAGGCCATCCACAAAATTAATTTTTAAGACTTCAATTTTGGGATTTCGGTTAATATTCAATAAAAAAAATTGTGTTTTAAATAATAATATTGAAAAATGTTATTTTGAAGAGACCATTATCATCTCTAATAGATTGCTTCATAACGGTTTTAGGGAGATTCACGAGGATTGAAATATTATATTGTTGTAGTTGAAAGAATTCACGTTTGTCTTCTTTCTTAAGTACTACCCTGCTAAGGCTAACTGACGTATCTGCAATTTTGATATATTTCAGGTTTTGAGCAATTCGGATATTAAATATTATTTTTTAATTCATTTTCGAAGCAAAAAACCGTATATATTGTTTACATCCATGTAACTACCTAGGAAAATTCTATATCTGTTATAAGACAAACAAATCTATCTGACATATTAAAATAATGTAAACAATTTTAATTGACTTCATTAAATCGCAACAAAATTAGCCTAGGTAGGTACTTTTATTACAAAAACCATTTAACATACGATCGGCATTATTAAAAGTACTAAATTGTTCTTTTCTCAAAACAAGGTTTTTGCAGATATCTACGTCAACTGGCCTTTGCATGACAGGGTAAGTCGCATGAATGTTGAAACGTCCAATGGCGGTGAAGTGAAGAGAGCTTCGAATGGATTTCGAGTAGTTTAACACGCAACTGAAGTTAGTATACAGTAGAAAGGCTGAAGTCGATAAATTCGGCTTCGATCACCTACTAACCTTGATAAACTAGAACTTGGGATGGGCAAACTCGTGGGATACGGACTTCGGAAGTTAGCGCTTGTCGGGGAGATGGGGTACATGCTTGGTGTGTGCCTGAAACAAAAGCATATCGTGTCAGAAAATCAATTTCAACAGCGATTTAATCAATAAATCGATTAAAACAATTTCTTTCATCAACATTCACATAAAAACAGTCTTTTATAATATTTACATAAAAATAAGCTTCTCACTTTAATAAGATAATAAAATTCTTAACTTCAATAATAATTGCAAACCATGAATTATTCATATGTAGCGAAAGTAATCGATGAATAGATTACAGATATTTATATAAATATAGTTCTATACCGACAAATTTGTAGAAATCAGAATAGAAGAGAAGCTTATTGTCCCTATTATAGGATCCAAATAAAATAAAAACCTTACTATAGCATATTAAACCTTTTAGTAGATTGACTTCAAGACATCTACGCCATAAATGCACAAGATCTGCAGTCTATCTGTGACACTAATAACAAGTCAATACAAAAGAGGTCTCAAAGTGTCCACACGTATGGACAAACCGATGGCTAATAGCCGAGGGTCGAACGCCTGATTCGGATTTTGTTCCTTCGAGAAAATCACGACGACCGTCCATCCCTTCGCGATTTGGTCAGCCTGGTGATCCTCTCAGTTCCGGTCTATTAGATCGACCACCGTCGTCAGTGGTGTTCCGGAGGATATAACACACGCCGACCGCACAAAACCCTCCCCTCGCGGGCCGGAACCCTCATCCTCCCACCTTGTTATTTGCTTTCTGCCCGAACCGCCCCAAATTGAGATTTTCCACGGGTGATTAGGCCCGTTCTTCTCAATTACGAGGGCAGAATCGCGTTTTTTTTTCCTCTGCCCCCCGGGGAACGTAGAGGGGAAAACGCCAATGGGGTTGCGTATTTTTCAGGGCCAAGAAGAGGTCCTCTCGCGTTTGTGGGTTTTCAGTGAAACGGGCGGTGAAGTGGTTGGGACAGGTCGAGGAACGTCGGAGGGAAAGACGCGCACGAACAGTTTCCGCATGGACACTTCCTTTTTCAGACCTGTTCCGATCATTTTACGGGAAACTGTATTATACGATTAGACGATCTTATCACGTTTGCTACCAGCATATTATTTCGAGAATTGCAGCATTCTATTCAATGGAATATCATTATCTTTTTGACCAGAAATTATACACAAAATAGATAACTGATACAAAATATAGATGAATATTGCTAAACTCATTTTACTTGTATATAAGAAAGTATGCTGACCTGGAAATTGGAGCGTCACACATACAGTGGGGGACGAAAGAAGTCTTTCCTTTAAAACGGATTAACTTTTTTCAAATTGGTTCAAGTGACTTGAGTTCTTTTGTGAAGTTAGGAACATTAGTTTACTAAATGATGTGTAAAAGAAAATTTGGAAAACTTGCAATTGGTCGGAATCGCGAAGAAATTCGACGATTCCGACTAATTGCAATTTTTTCCATTTTTTGTTGCACATCATTTAGTAAACAATATTTTTTTCATCCTTTTCAAGTTTTTTTTTGTCTTTCAAGATTTGTTAATATTCTTTTGTATTTCAAGAAAATAGGGAATAAAAAAATTGTTCATTGGTGCATTAAGGGGTTAACAGAAAAAAAAAAGAAAAAGAAACATCATCCGTAATTCCCGTTTCCACGATCCGTGTCTCTCTCGACGATAAACCAAGCCGATACAGCGAACGCGCTCGTAATCGCATCATCACTCTGCGAGTAAATGGCGGATCGTTTGAAAAGGGGTAGCCCGGCTCGTAGGAAGAATCGTCCGGGATAAATAAATAATCGCGTGCACCCTCTCTGTCGGCGGTGGTCGTTGAATCGTTGGTGCACCGGGAGGTTCGACGGACGACTGCTTGAGCGCGGCAAATCGGTACGTTTCTCATGTAAATCAGGCCACTTCGTCTCGAACTGGGGACTTTATTGCTTACGTAAAAGTGTATTGATAACGTCGGCTATTCAGTCTGCGACCGTTTTTACCCCCTCCCTACGTCGTTCCTACTTCCGTCTCGAGTCTCGGTTTACCCTCTTCGCCTGTACAGTTTCCCGATACAAAGATCCACGGTTCCGTTGATCGTCGGAGGAAAATTCCAACCCGACGGATTATCTACCGCTGGTAACGAGATTAATGGACCTCCCCTCTCTACTCTAGATGAATCGTTAATTCCGAGAGTCCGTAACGCTCTCTTCTCTGGGCTCGAAAGCCAGGGCGGAGTTTAATCGTCTTCTTTTATCCAAACGAGGCGAAGAAGCCCCGCCGAGGGGGATGGGGATCATCGATCCAACGGGACGGTGAAAAACCCTCTCTCGGTGGAGAAAGATGAGATTCATCGTTAACCAGGGAAGGCTGTTTCCCGGTGACGTTTTCTGTCAATCGATGAAAACGCGTATTGACTTACCAGGTTGCGGCGACTTGCGACATTTCCGGGCTAAGCATGGGATACGGATATTGACCCGTGGAGAAGGGATACATCGGCGCCCTCGTCAGACCTGTAACAGAAAACGAGGATGCTGCTGTGAATCGCTGTTGGATCGTCATCTCGCGGTGCTCTCTGCTCTCGACGTTCGATCGTTCACAATGGAGGCCTTTTGTGGGCGTGTTTCGATTCAGAAGCGGGCTAAAGGTCGTCTGGTGTTTCTCTTTTCTTCACACCTGTTCGAGATGTTCGTTTCTTCAAACGGACCGAATGCTTCGATTGTCGCTTTGTGCGGAAAATGTTTTTTTTTTTTAATCGTGTAATTTTTTTTTAATCGTTACGCGGTGGAGACACACACTCACACACACACACACACACACACACACACACACACACACACACACACACACACGCGAAGGGTTCGAGTCGACGAAAAAGGGGTGGCGCATAGCTTTTACAGTGGCGGTATCTAATATAAACCGGGTACGTGCTGCGAAACCGGTCGCGGTCCCGAAGAGCCCCAGAAACGTCGGCTGGCTGGTATATAAGTGGGGTGCCTTTGGCGAGGCGAAGTGTAATTGGCTTCATAAGGGTCGACGAGAAACGGCCGGAATATCGGCAAGCCTGAAACCGCTTGACGAGGCCAATACCTCACCCCCTTTTCAACCACCACCACACCACCCTTCTCTCTCTCTTTCCATATCGTTCTCTCGTCGTGGAGTATGGACGAACCGGATAGATGGACTCTCTCTTCACTTTCACCCCCCCCCCTCTGGACCACCACCCTCATCGTCAGCTCCTTTTTGCATTTCGCAGCTCTGAATATGTCCCGGAGGCGTGTTCCTCCGCAACCACCCTCTATACCCAGCGTGTCTCTGTTCGTCTGCTCGAAATCGGTCAACGCGTGGTTTTCCACGATAGGGCCACTCCGAGGGTCCCTCCACCCCCACCCACGGATAACGACCTTCTCTATCGGCGGTCCGTAAAGAGAGATCGGTCCTCGGGGCGCTCGATTTCCGCCCCGTTTGTGAACGGTTCGGCGTCACCCCATCCTCCGATACGGAGACAATTTTCGGAGGGATGATGGTCGGTGAGGGGGAGACAGAAGTACGTGTTACATTGTAATAGTACGGTTTGTTTGGCTATTGCAGTCGTCAAGAACATCGTAAGGCAAAGAGCTAATGTGCCCTGTGAAAATATATTTTTCAAAATTCCAACTGAAAAATATAACTTGAAAATATCTCATGAAGTAATCTATGTCTGACTAATACTCGCTGTTGCTACTTCTAACAAACCCAGACGCTATGATCGTAGTATTTTCTAATATCATTGTTCCCCAGTTCTAAATCTATATCAAATTACCGTGAAAATCAGTAATACCACACAAAAACAACACTCTGTGAGAAAAAATCACCCCAAAGCACCATTACCGAATCGAATCATCCCCAAAAACATTACCAGTCCATTAGCAACGAAACGTCATTACCAAAAGGGTGCAAGAAATCCTGATCTTTCGTCGAAACAGTCTCTGTCAAAAGAATTACCTAAGAAACCACTCCTTTCTTCCCCCCAAACCACCCGTTACTCAACTTTCACCACGTCGAGGGCGATTCATTTACATTCTAACGACGAAAGGGGTGGCCAGAGGGTTGGGTGGAGACGGTTCGATTCTCGAGTAACCGGGACCGGAAGAATCGGAGGAGCCTCCGGAAGAGGGGAACGACGAGTCGATATCGAGAGACCGGTTATCCCCCACCTGGCTCGTCGCGGATCCACGAAATGGGGTGGGGTTACAGTAGGTTCGGGTGAAACGCAGGAAAGGGTCGTTATCTGTCCAATATCGTGTACGAGTGAGGTAAGGGACGAGAATTAGAAGTACGATCCACGTAGGAGGAGAGCAGAAGAAGGTGGATGATGTAAGGGCGCGGGGGTGGAGGTGGTGAAGGGGTGGTTTGGAAGGTAGAAGGACGGCGATGGTGGGTTGAAAGGGGTGGCTGGTAATATCCTGGCGAGTCCGCGGGCTCCGTCATGTGTGCTTAATCACTTTCCAGTCGACTCGGCAGTCTGCAACCCCATTATCGGGGTCTCACCACCCGGAAAATTACTCTTTTATTCTCGAACAACTCGAGCTCCCGGTGTTCCGTGTACTACCGCGATATTTTCTGTCTTTCCAACCTCCGCCCTCCCCCTGCGACCCGTCGTCTTCGTTTCCGAACGTCGTCCTCCCATCATTCCCCGTGTGCTCGACGACTTCGATGGTTTTCGACGTTTTTTTTTTCTTTTCTCTCGTCCACTTTATTTTTTTTTTTTTTTTTTTTTTTTGGGGGGAAAAAGGGGGGGAGTGTCTATTTCGCTCTATTAGAGGCTATCGTTAACATTTACTCGGCCGTGTGGTTTCAGTCGGGATGAAGAACCCGTGCGTGCTCGATGAGGGAGGAAACGTGGCGCGGTTCCGGGTGGGTTTTCGACAAAGGGACACGGCTCCACACCGTCGATCACGATTCAACGGGCTGCTGACTATCTTCAAGTTTTAATTGGTCTTCTGATTGACGGCGAAAGAGTTTTTCTTGCTTCCACCATCGGGGTTTCGACTGCGACGGGGTTTCGGGTGGAGTGGTGGCTTAAGTTCGGAATTCTTGTAGTCGAGGCCTGTCGAAAGTTGACAGGCCGACGAGTTTCGACGTCGAAATTAACTGGTGGATTGATCGTTCGTGGCTTCAAGAGTTTGAATACTAAGTCTTTTCATTAGAATGCTATAATCGTGATCAATTCGGCTCATAGGTTGACCCATTTTATAAGTTTCTGAAATGTTCTGGATTTACCGGAAGCTCTAAGAAAAGTATTTAGACTATGGATATTGGAAAGTTAATTTTACATAAATAATAATCTGTTATTAAGTGATTATTTATTATACCTTCAACAGTATATTACTATTACCTCTAATAAGTCGTATTGGTAATTGTATAAGATTACCGAAGAAAAGATATAACAGGTCTGGTAAAGACTGTTTATAAGAAATTTCGACCAGAAGAGTTTAATCGTTCAATTATGACGCCATATTCGTTTCACCACCCCGTCCATCATTTCTTAATCCTACTTTTACTTGATAATACAAATCTGAATGATTAAAGTAATCGACTAAAAGTACCTAAGTAGGTATTATAAGTATAATTGATTGTATCAGGTACGAATGTTATGTCATTTTTCCTTCTCCCAACGAATAAACTTCACTAGAAAACCTGCATTTAACCAGATCCCTCGAGTGTCACTCGAGATCCTCTTACAAGGAGGATACGTTCGAGTGGTATTTTAACACTCGAATCGGAGGTAAAGCGTATTGTCGCCGTCACGAGGCCACGATACGAGGGAAGTTCAATAAAGATATCAAAGTGACCGTTCCACAGCGACGAGAAAGCTTGGGGAACCTGCTCTTGTCGAGGATTACGCGCTCGAAGAATCACGGATGGTGGAGAGTGGTACTCACCGGAACAATACATTCACGTTATTAAGTGACTCGATTCTGTTTAGGGAAAAAGATGACAGATTTTCAACATAATGATACATATAACTGTACACTTTAACGTAACTATATTTATTCGATTCGATTGATCTGTCAATCTTGTAACTTTGGGCCCTCAATTCTCATATAAACACAATTAATACTGAATCACAGGGAATCGATACATTTTTCTACGCAATAGACGATAATAAAAGATTATTAAAATATAATTAATAATAAATTTTTTATTTTTCCCATTCTGAATCAACGGAAATAGAGAACAGAACAGTTGAAGCTTGACGAACGTGACTCGGGTTAGCTCAAAAAGGAACGTCGAAAATGTAACATCTTAACTGGTTGTATAATCCTCAAAAATACAACCAGCTTCAAAGATTTCAATCTCACGTCGCTAAAGAAGTATTCAAACCCCGAACAAACATTCTTCCCACCCTCTGAATAATTAAAAAAATGCACTAAACATTACATCCCAAATCGACTAAAAAAACACAAGTACTTATTTATCCAAGTTTTTGCCTAAAAGGTTTCGTTATACCAAAGAGTCAAGAAAGCTGTCGACACCGTTGAAACTCGAATTCATCACACACTCTTACCCCGAAAAACCGATCAGACGGGGCGCGTCGTGCAAAAGTAAAGTAGAGGGTGCAGAGGAAGATCGGCGAGAGAAGGAAGAACGCCTCATAATCGCGGCAGAAAAGAAAAAAAAAAGAGACGACCGCCGGGGGCTGTGGGATGGTCGGCTACAGAAGAGAAAAATTAAGCAGATCAATGGCGGAGAGTCCCGGGCGTTTCGCCGGGAATCGTCGTATCCCCTCCCCCGTTCCGTCAGCCCCGTTTTGCCTCCCTTTCGCGTCTCCTCCGTTGGGGTATCCTGAAATAAACACGCGGCGGAGATCGAAAAGTGGAGCTAATTAGAAATATATTCGTGGAAGCGAGAGGGTTGCGCGCGAGCGAGATGTGGCTGGGTAGACACGAGGGGGTTGGAAACACCACCACTGTGGAAACTCTGGGAGCGAAGGGATGAAGAGAGGAACGAGGAACGGTGGATAGACAGAGCGAAAGAGATAGAGGGTGTTAGCAAGAGGAGGAAGATGGACGAGAAGGGGGTGAGCTGAAGGGACGAAGAGGGTAGCTCCCTCTCCCCTTCTGGAGGGTTGAACGAGAGACGGATGGAAGTCAGAGGTGGCGGGTGCTCTCCAGGCGGAACGGGGTGAGCGACGAAGACGAAGAGATAGCGGGCACCGTCGTTCTGAGAGCAACGGAGGGTAGCTGCGACCGGGGGTTGAACTCGAGCAACGCAAGAGGGGAGGGAGGGGGAAGCCGGAGGGTCCACAAGGGAGCGGTGGAGGGAAAATGCTCGCTCGTTTGCAAGACAAAGAACCAGAGTCGCCGTACGAACTCGTAGTCGTGCATAAACGCTATCAACCCCATCTACATATTCCAGGGGACCGCGTAGGAGGGATCGTGAAGGTGGGGTGGAGAGGGCGGCAGGCCCGAGGCAGAACGAGAGGAGAGAAAGATAGCGCGCGCGCAAACACGTACCAAGTCGCCCGCGCCGCCAGTGAAACGATACGCGGATCCCTCCGTAAGGGTAGCCCCGGACGACGAAGAGGAGGACGGACGGCTACGCGAACTGAATTAGGAATTCTTCAGTTTCGAGGATTTTATCGCGAGGACCTTCGTGGCTGGATTAATGGAGCGTAATTAGAGTCGTCGACGCGACGGAAACGGCGGACATCAGTTTTTTGTTCGTGGAGATTATATCGTTGAAGATTTATCGACGAGTGAACGGAGAGGTTTTTCTGGGTGCAGTGTTTTGAAAAATATATACAGTGGGTGAAAAATAGTGCTCGCACACCCTTTGAAACGGAACAACTGCTTTAAAATAGGACCAAGTGACTTGAGATTTTTTTGAAGTTGGAACGATTCGTTTGGTATGGTTGTTTTTTACAACTTTCTTATCCGAGAATGTAATGAAAATTTAATAACTACATTTCAAAGATTGGGTTAGTTGTATACATGGTAAAACTTTTGAAGGGGACAGAAATCAAAATATGTAAAAATCTTTAGATTTACGACAGTTGTAAAAATTAATACAATGAAGTGATAAATAGATAAATTTGCAAATTCTTTAAGGCAAAAATCACAAAGGCGCAGCTAAATTTAACTAGACATGACAAAATAACGTCGTTTCTTAGGAGATAACTGTGTCAAATTGAGACAAGGGACGGATTAGGGTTCATAAACGAGGAAAACACACCGGTCATCGATTGTTAATCCACACCGACTATAATGATGACAGGCTGCGGGGGGTTCGCTCTCGGCAGGGTGGGGGCGGTCTCGGGGGCGGGTGCAACGAGGGTAGGAAGGAGAGAAGCTGTAGAAATAGAGAGGCGGGTTGAAACCCCCTTGACCCGCCGCCAGAAGGAGGCTGCATGCCTGGCTGATTAGCCTAATGGTGAGTCCTCCTCTTATTCTCCTACTTGACGCCAGTTCGCGAGCCTCTCTTCTCTCTCTTATCCCACCACCACTTCCGTTCTCTCTCTTTCTCTCTCTCGCCTCTCGCTGTCTCAGTCTTATTCCCTCCGTTCCACCCTCTGGGGACGCCTCGGCCTCTCCACCATCCCTCGGTTCGAGCCGCGGCATCGGCTCAGACCCTTGACTCGATAAGAAATATTCCTTCAATTAGGAGTCCGCTGGAATATCAATGTTTGCACGGCTACCAACAACGGCACCGAGGAATCTTTTTTAATCCGTCGCGAGAGCACCAGCTATCAGAAACGCTTACGGGGGTATACACTACTGCCCAAAAGTATCCTAATAGGTACTGTTTCTGATGGATTGTGAAGTTGTTTTACACATGACAAGTTGCAATAGTGCTCCAATCTAGGCGATGGTTCAAAATCGGCAACCTTCCTCTACGGTGGGAAAAAAGTATTCTTACAACGGTAATACCTACTATCGATTAATAATATTTTTCAGTGAAACCCTGAGTTCGTAATTCTATGTCCATTAGACTACACTATTGTTAGAAAATTAAATTATTATGGAATAATCGGAGGAAAATAATTTATAACTTAAAATAACATATCGAAAACGGCATTGTCAATTGATAATTAGCATTGTCGGAGTACGAACCCTTTCTTCTCTCAGTGGATTCACTTTGAAGCCTTTGCTTCGTAATAGAAATAAGTTCTCCAGGATGTATGCATACCAGGACTGTGAGACCATGATACTCCCATCAAGGGCAACCCGTTTTAAGGCCAACGTACACAACACTCACCCCCGGAAAATCAATATTTCTCGATAATACAAATGGTACTAACAACTTTTAAGCAAACATGCGTTAGGAAATATTTTATATATTTAATTTAAAACAGCCTCTCTAGTTGCATGCAATGCTGTTTCACAGATACGATCAGTACATGCCCTTGTTACGATAGTAAATGTCTGGTAAAAAAATCTTACAAAATTGTGTGATATTTTCAAAAAAATTGATGCTTGCCCGGAAACTTTTCATTCAATACGCAACAAACGAAATTGAAGTTTATAAAGTCATAAATTTCAATTGAAAGGCATTCTCGGAACAGTCGAGTTTGATTTCCGGGAGTGCGTACTCATTAGAAGCGCGGTGACATTCACTGTAAATTTGATTCCTAAATTAACGTTTCATGACGGGATCGTTGCGCGTTGTTCGGCCGTCTCTAGCCGCAGACAAAATGTGTTTATATTGCGCGCGTATGACGGGGCTTGTTGATATTTGCGGGTGGATCGATACAGTGGAACAATATACGCGAAGAGTCGCCGCGAGCAGTTGCTCGATTATAGGGCCTAGAAGTATTCCATCAATTACAATTCGAGGGGGTTGTCAACATTTGCAACGGCACTAGACGGGGTTAGAATATATTGTACAGCTTTTCCACGGGAAATTGAAACTGATGATAGTTTCGGCCCATGATGACTCATTTAAGTGCAATCGGTGCCGTTAGTTTATTTAACCACGTGCACTGTCCCTGGTAAGACTCTAATTTTTAATTATATTCTTTATCAGAGAAACTTGTAAATTAAATTTACACTAGTAGTTACATGTATAGATCAAACAATCTGTAAATATACTTCCTTAATCCACTGACGACCATTAGTTTTAACCTTCTCGCGATATAGAGTATTTCTAAATGTAATAACGAAAAATTTTAACCTAATAATATTTTCTCAGGCAACCTATACAACTGAGAAAGAAATAACTTTTCAAATAGTAGCGCTAAAAATGGCAGATAAACCATGAGGCGTACTGATACGCTTACTGTGGTCAGTGGGTTAATTGGATTTTAATTTAGGCCAATTTTAATTCAGGGAATAGAAATGCACTAGTTTATTGAACAGTGCAAAAGGTTAATGATAGTAACAATTCTGAATTCCAACGTGACCAGAGTAAATGATGTGTTTTCAAGGACTCTTTAAGTTAATTGGAAGAAATATTCAACTTTTTAAAGGGAATTGTTTTGCCTACTGCGTGCAGGGTACGAAGGTTGAAACGTTTATAATATGTGTCCTGTAATAGAAGATATCTTAAAGTTAACATAACACAGGAAACGCGAGAACAACCTCCACCTTAGCTACTACCACCGTTTGTTGAGCCAAACCGTGTGTTTAAAGTATCATTAATAATCAATCATCCCATACACCACTAAAAATACGCCCCTTCACGCAGGATCGTCGATTGATAAATTTAGCTGTCATCGAATACAGTCTTATTTCAGGCTGAATTATTATTAATTAATTGAGAAATAAATGGATTTCATTACTTTTACATTGTTACAAAGATTACACGTTACAGAATTGAAACAGTACAGTGAAGATGTACACTTCCGTTCATGAGTATTAGAACGCTTATTGAATATGCAGTAAATGTCACAAGCCACTACGAAATTGTTTAAAGTCTGAAATATATATTGTTTGTGGGATAGTAAAGCTCGATGAACAATATTCATGCTAGTATAAAGTAGTATAATAATGGGTTGTCTGGAAAAGTTCGTAGCATTTTTAAAGGCAATTATGTTGTTATTTACTGCATTATTTATAATTTCTTCTCATTTTTCAATTAATTTCATTGTACTGGTTGTATACAACTTCGATTGCATGGCTTTAAAAGCTCTTCAGGTGGCTCAGAATGCATGTACAATTTTTCCAAGCATCGTCCTAATACTTACACACGGCAGTGTAAATATCGACCAAGCCATTCATCCCTCTATCAAATCACTGAAATAACCCGCAAATGATCACATAAATACATGGGTAAAATTCTAAGCTTATTAAGGAGGCTTCCGGAAATTTGTAATATATTGTAATAATAATTAAGTTTAAAATATTAATCATTCGTATTAAATTGGTAAAATTGACAAAAAGTACAAAGAGCCGTATAGAGCCCAAGTTAGATACGACACCAAACACGGAAGCAACCTTAATGAACAGAGAAAAACGAAACAATGTTCCATCCACGGAAAAACTAGATACTTCGTAAGGAGGCGTATTTTCGTCCCCAAGACAAGATTGTATAGACCAAGTGTCCTCCATCCTTGTGGCTCAACGAGGAAGGGGATATCTCCAAGGAGCAGGATGTTACATCAGAGGATCAAGGACCAATAGAGGAACCTTGGGGAGGAGCTAACCTGTGGAGGCTGCCGCAGCGAGAAGACGTTTCCAGTGTTCGGGGTGGGTGGGTGGTTGTCCAGGGGTGGCTGATGACCAGTACTCACCGGCCGCGGCGGCCGCTTTGCCAGCATCCAACGTCCCGTACGGCGGGATTCCCATATGGGCGGGGGGCGGTTGAGTCAGATGGTCCCCGTTCGGGCAAAAGAACGGCAGCCCGCTCGGATGCGTCCCTGCCAGGCCCATCTTGCTCGCCTGTAAGAAAAACAAAGAAAAAAATTCCGGTTGTAATTAGTAAAAAACGAAGTACCATCGTGAAACGTGATAATAAAATTTCCAGCAATTCCACGAAGTGTGTATTCGTAAGCTGATTGCTTGGAGAGTGTATGTCGCGTGTCGGTGTTGCATTATCGTTAACGGATAACACGTTTATTAATGTTTCGTTGACGCGACCAGCTAATTACCAGTCCGCCGAGGATTATCAATTAATTAATCGATCCCGCGGAAGCTCTCGAGCGAGGCGTCGACAGGTGTTTGCGTGACAGGCATTAATATTTTTCTTTTGCTGGGTGATCGATAACGTTGTTATGGAACCGCCTCTAATTCTCCAGGACGGCGAGTAGCGGCGCAATCGCCTGTCGTAGGAAACCGGTAACGGGGTAACCGTTTCCGTTGAAATTATTAATATAGATACTTTAATAAATAGACTGGGGATTTTATGCATTTATCGTGAGTACGCAAAACACAGGACAGTAAAATTTTTGCTGAAACAAATTGTACTTTACATTGGATATAACGAAACCAAATCACTGCTATAATTTCAATTGAGTAAAGCAATCTATAAAAATCTGCATAAAAGTCCGCAGTCTAAAATAAATACAAAATGAAAAAATTTAATTCTGTCGGAAGTTAAATATATGTCGTTCGGTCCACTTGTAGACCAAACAGAATGCTCATTGAGTAACCTTTGCCCTGAAACATTTGTCACCACAATAAATAATTTATAAATAACACGCAACATCGTCAGGGTATCTGACTCGTCCTAAAATTATCCACTAATACTTCGAACATCCATTCCACAATGATTCAAGCAACCATCAAGTATTCACAAAGTCTCTCACTCGCAACGATCAAAATGGCGTCCATCACGATACCTAACCTATACCGTAATCTGGACCATCAGAAAGAACCCACGCAACCGTTCAGAGGACAAAACGGCGAAGAACGACAGCCAACCAAACAGAAACGAAGTATTCACGGTAATTGCATGTTTAACGATGCGACCGTAGTATCGATATCGAGCTGTTTGATCGCGTTCGAGTACCATCCCCGTTTCTCCCTGTTTAACATAGACATTAGCCTCATTTCCATCCGGGTCGGTCGTAGTCAGTAGGCGCAGGATACAGTCGTCGTCGTCGGTCTAAAAAGTCCTTGGAGGGAGAAATATAATATACAATTCAATAAACCCTTGAAGAAAGGGGGGGGGGAGGGGATCCGCTTATCGAGGACGAGCTCGAGCATTAATTTGCAAAGACGACGCGCGCTCCTCGAACGTTCTCAAGGGTTCGTTCGGCTTTTCCGTCCGCTGACTCGACGACACAGGGTATCGCCGAATTCAAGTGGCCCTCGAGTGTTCTCGCGCGACTCACCGCGTCCCTTCCCGACCCCTTTCCATCTTCTCTTCAACCCCCCAACCCCTACTACCTCCGCGAGTCGAGTGACAGTCGATGGAATTAGTTCAATCTGGCCACGGGAGCTTACAAGGTCGCCTCCTACTCCTACCACCTCTCCCTCCTTCTCCTCCTCTAGCCGGGGTCGACGGCGTCACCGAACGATCGATACCTCGAGTAGTTGTCTCTTATCAGTCGGTGCTTACCATGAGTGCGGCTGTATCGCGCATCGATCTGACGGCGAGTAATAGTCCTGGATCGAGAGGCTCCCTTTCCATCCAAGTCAACACCCTCGACAGCAGACCGACCGCCTCTTCCGCGGTGGGCTCGTCCTCACCGTCTTCATCCCCGGTCTCCTCGGCGTCCTCGTCCCCGTAATCGGGACACTTCTCCTCCGTTTCGATCTTCACGCGGCAATGATCCTCCTCGGGCTCCTTCTTCCTTACGCAACGCGACAGCCCGCTCTCCTCGTCGAGGATCCATTTGCTCAGCTCCTCGTCGCTGACCTCCAGACCCACTTCCCTGGCCAAACTCTGCAGCTCCATCAGCAGCATCCTGTCCTCCTCTTGATCGGCCGACACCTGTATCCTCGGGGACAAGCTGGCCCCGTGACTCGAGCAACCGACAACGGTGTTTTCCTCTTGGGACAACACCCAACTTCTGACGAACGTTTCCGACCTGATACTCAGCCAGGCTCTGTGTAGATCGGCGAACGCCTCTTTAAGTGTGAATCTACGAAGGTACGCGTTTAGGGGATCGACGTCCGACGTGTTCACGGGCTGATGATGATGGACACCGCAAGAGACTCTGGAGAGTACACCGATGGCCAGTCGTATTCTCAATTCTCTGATGACGATCCTCATCTCTAGACAGTCTTTAGGCACCACGAACAACCGGACCAATCCATCGGCGGCGACGCAGTCAGCCTCGGCCGGTAGATAGTCCGCGCTCTCGGCGACTAGGACCGCGCCGTCCGGGTGCATCGCCATCGCGGTGACCGCGAACTCTTTGTGAAACCACCATAGAAACAGATCCACCGTGAGGGAACCCCTTCCGCCGCCCGCGTAGATCACCGGCTGGCTGAGCATATTCACACGTCTCAGGCATCGTGGTCGCCAATGACGACCGGTGACCAGCAACCGCGTTCTGTGGTGTCCCTCGTGATCAGCCGCCCCCACCACCCACACCCTTTCGACATCGCCAGCTGTCGCGGCTGTGGTAGCGGTGCGCCGACGTCCAGGCAAATCCCGCCAATCCAAGAAGGACACATGTGCCAGGTAGATTCTGCTACGATCGTAGCTCTCTAGGGCGCTCCTCAAGGCTTCTATCGTCGAGGCCTGAGACACCGGGGCACAGCTTCTGGCGCCACTTTGACCGAACTGCTCGTTCACTCTGTCTGGCGTGGTGGACACTGAAGAGGGGAACGGCGACGAGGAGGATACCGTCGACGAATGTGCGCAAGCCGGAATTGTGGTCACGGCGAACGATTTCTCCTCCGAGTCCCCGTGATCCCGCGACCTTGTCAAACAATGTCGTTCCTGTTTTCGTTTCCTAATCCGATCCTGCTCGTTGCACCGACCTGTACCGTCATCCACCACGGTTCCTGCCTCGGACGTTCCCTCCTCCGTGGGCTTCTCCTGCGAAATGCAGGACGCCGAGGTCGAGGAAATCGAACGGGCCGGCGAAGACACGGTCGACGGTGGTGTGCTCGATCTTCCTGATGACGCGTCCGTGGTAGAAGACAGCGCCGGCGAGGACAATGGCGTCGACGTGATGACAGCACCATCATCTACGTGGCTCACGATTCGATCGTCGTTGACGTTGATACAGTCCCGAGGCGGCTGTTTCGCCGGGCACCGTTGCGTCGCCAGGGTGCCGTTTTCACGGGGCTCGAGGCCATTCTCCAGGGGCTGACGCATGCGCGCCGTCCACGACGATCGACCCTCGCGCGCTGCCACCGTGACGGCGGACTTACTACTGCCAGTTCTCGTCGTAAATGTGGTCGTCGTCGTCGTTTTCGTGTGAGATTTACCGGACGGCGGACCGATGATGCCTGGCGGTTGTTCTTGGATCGGATCCTTGGGTCCGTTCGCGGTGGATCGATGATGACGATGGTGATGGAAATGATGATGGCCGCGATGGGCTCGTCCTTTGGCGGCCACTTTGCTGACACGCGTGCACTTGCTGCCACGGGGAGACATTGTCCTTGGACGGGGATCGACCGGAAGGAGACGAAGAGGAGGTGGAGGAGGAGAACGCCTCGATCCGAGGTGTCCCTCTTCCAGGGCCTACAGGCCCCCGCGGACGGAGATGCCACCGAATATCTCTTTTTCACGGATTCAGGCGAGCTTTCGGGTAGTCGCGCGCGCGCGCCAACCGTTCATCCACGGCGTGCCGAGTTCGCCTACCGAGCGATGACTGAGCGGGCGGCCGCGACGCAACCGTCAAAGGCCGGAGCGGGAACTAGAAGGCTTTGATGTACCGCCGCCCCGGCGCGCACAAAGCGAAAGCGGCCCCGGCTCGTTGGCTGGCATGCCACGGGGGGGCGGGGGGAGCGGGCGGGGGCGGATAGAGCGAGAGAACGGCCACACGCTACGGGTAACCCAGACGGAGACACTGACTTGGGGCGGGAAGGGGGAGGGCACGGGCGAAGAGGCGGCAAGGACCGCGGGGAGGTGGGCGGGCGACAGGGGAACGAAGCGCATCCGCGAACACGAGCGAGACAGAGACACACAGTATCCAACGGCGGACGTACGGTCAACGAGTTCGAGGACGTCCACGCGCGGCGCTTCTGTATTACGCGAGTGCCACAACCTCGTTTGGGACCACTGGGTTACCGATGGGATTGGACATGCCTGTGTGTGTGTGTGTTATGCGTTCGTGCTTGGAGGAGCCCAGACGGTTACGATTTCTTTGAGAGATTATTGTCGGCGGAGTAAGTATGGGGGACGTGTCTTCGTGATCGTGAAGTTAGGTGATCGAGGTAAAAGCTACGGCGATGGTTGAATTTGGTAATTGTTGATATGTTTAATGTGGTTTGTTTTGATACTTCGGTTTTAAGTGAGATCCTTTGTTCAATGTTTCGGGGGCTTCGAAGTGCGTGAGAGAGTGTTGCGTATGGAAAAATACCCAGTCAGATCTTCTTTTTAAAGGTCACGAGCTGACCTAGATGGAGCCAGTGGCTCTCCAACTCTCGATTTCCCTACAGTCCAGTAGGATGATCGAGTGAATATATTAGTGTGTAGAGTAATTTGAATCTTTGTGATTTTTCAACCTTTATTAAATATTTTGTTTCACTGTAAGAGAAATGTTGTCTTTCTATTTTTTCCTGTTAGACAGAATGGACCCATTTGACGCCGTTCAGTTTTCAATTTCTCCTCTACTGGAGTTATTATTTAACCTCATTTCTTATTTAAACCTTTAACACTCCCTTTTGTTTTGAAAAAAGATTGTGAGAAGTACTAAAAAAATAATTGTATTTAATTCTTCTTTTATACAATCATGACTGTCGTAAGATTATTTTTCATTGCCTGTGTTTATCCGATCATGTGCACGCTGGTAACATAAAACGCGACACTGCTTAAGTCGTGTGTACACATTTCGGCCAGTATCATCCGTTCGAGTTAATTCGAGTGTGCACGTTAAGGGACTAACGATAGATCTACCTATAGATTCAAATTTAACAAAAGGTTGAAAGTAGTGTTCAGCGACAAATGCGTTAAGTAAATCGATGTTCAAGCGCGATTAGTCATTCCCTGTCTAACAATTCTCGCGATAAAGACACGTCAATGCCCTTGCGTACAGTCACTGACAAGACTCGAGGCGAAACATCAGCCTGCGAATCGTTCGATCGTGAACTTTGTGCATCCGAACAGATGCGTCTAATCAGTTACGTCTTATTCCCCTGAAGCAACGTTAGAGGATACATTGCGCTTGGGGCGCTGCTGATCTTTCGCTCCAGTTGCGCAAAAAGAAAAAAGAAAAAGAAATAATAAAGAACAGTCTGACCGACACCGTGAACATCGTGTTTCTGTCCCGTGCAAATTAGAGCACCGCCGATAGAACTGCCTCGCTCGATCGCCCCCCTTTACCAAGGGGAACGCTGTCTATTCCGGTAACTGCGTTTCCACCGCGCCGTGATATAGTCCCTCGATCGAGAACACGCTCGATCTGGGTGACTGTACTACGCCACCCGGGCCGGCCGATAGAAGATAACGTTTTATGACTTTGCTCTCGTTTACGAACCGTTCCTTGTCTTTGCCATCAAACACATTCACGATGTTTGGATCAGTGAATGGCCGAAGGTGTGGATTGGATGATTGCACATTAACCCATTCGTAGTAGTCTCGAACCGTCGTCACCTGCTTTTCTATACGACTCGATATGAAACTTCTAGCTAAAATTATATTTACAAATCGACGAATTAGATTCAAAGCACTCGGATCTAAAAGGACTCGTTAACCGTACTACAAGGGTTAAACGAATCTCTAATAGATTTCAAACCATCAAATCGAAGGGAATTACAGGTGAAGTTAGTATAAATTTGAAAGTTTAAAATCGATTATCTATGATTTTCTATGAGTTTTAGATTCGATTTGTTAAGAAAATCCCCACTCGTCAAACGGACTAATTAGGCGAGGGCTGAAAAATGTCGGACTCGTTTACACGGATGGCACAGTAGAAAAGGGAGGGGGGTTCTGTAGAGCAATGGTGGTACAGAGAGGGGGCGTACAGGGTGTGTGTGTATGGGGGTAGGGGGGGGGGGGGGGGGCTTAATATTGCAAATCGGATTTAGCCTAGGGCGCTGGTCGCGCATGATTATCGGCGTGTCGGCATTTCATAAACGCGTCCACATCAAACGCAGCTGGTCGGTCGATCGCGATAATATTTGTCACGTAGTTGCGGCGACGGCAACGCGCGCGCGTACATACGTACAGTACTGGACAAATGTTTTCGGACAATAACCGTTTCCTGTATTATTTGAATTAAGGATACCACTGATGTTACATTAAATAATCAACGTCTGACTTGTGTAATTGTTATTTTCTTCGGTCGACCACACTCGATGCATTTTCTAAATGTCCTCCTCGAACAAATTGTTTATTTTATCGAATATACCGTCTATTTGGGGATGACCACGCATCGAGAAATAATCAAATAATACAACGTTCTCGTGAAGTTCTTGTCTCAGATTAAAATTTATGATTGTGAATGGAACATCCGAATACTTCTGTCTAGCTAAGTACAGATAAAACTTATTTTATATTTTGTGATACGTAGATTTCTTTGTGTAACTTTTATGAAAGCTTGCGTTAGAAGAATAGCAAACAAAGAAAAAAAATTGGATTTTGCCCCTCCCCCCCCCCCCCCCTTCGCAGAGTTACAAAATTTTTGCGTAATATTTAATATTGTAGTATAATTTGAAACACGACCAACAACCTCTATAAACTAAACGCATATATTTCCAACGAGTTATGACTTTAAAAACAAAATAAAGTGTGTCTGGCTACGTACAGCCTTTTTCACTGTGGCAGTCGATGTGTTAATATTCCCCCCCCCCTGATTGATCACCTGGCTACGCCCATGAACACTCCGGAAGGCAGAACGTCAGTAACATGACCGTAACAACAAATACAACGAAAAATGTCTTTGTCTGAATTAATTTGACCGGTACTGTACGTACGAACGTACCACACCGCCGCGGATACAGGCTAATCGATCCGTACGGGCTCTCTATGTATATGTAGGCGACCGTACACACACGCGTGATTACTTTCCGGTACGCGTTGTCTCCTCCGCGTCCGGAATTCGAGGCTCGCCGCATGCCGTCGATTCGATATGACGCAAGGGGGGTAACCGAGCCACCGGGGGCCCGACAAGAAGCTTCCTATATCCAGGCCCGACGACGTTTAGTATCGCTGATTAAACTGACCGGGCCGGAAGTATGCAACCAGCTTTTAAAAATCGAAATAAAGCCTGTCTGGTTACATACTGCCTTTTTCACTGTGGCAGTAAACGTGTTAAAACAACCCATGAAAAGTTATTATTTAAAATATCACTCGTTAACAAGAACCTAACCCAAAAGATA